CGAAATTTTTTGGGGGGCCTAGCCCTTCCACAAAATATTGGTTCTCAGTCATAGTTTTGCGGCGCATGCGTCTGCAATCAAACAAAACAGCGGTCATTAGGACCGCGTTAAATATAATATTTCAGTGCCCCCCAAAGATTTTCAGCTTCCGCCGCCCCTGATCTTAATAACTAAGACACATGAATATGGGTACAACCCAAACAAAGAATCTTATGCTGAAGAGATTGACACGTGATCTGAGATGGGAAAACATTTCCTAAAGTATCATGATAAGAAGCATAAAGATGGATGCAACTCAATCAAAGAATCTTAATCTCAACATAATGACACGTGGTCTTCTCTAAAATAGAAAGACATCACGCCCAAGGTAAAGAGGTCATGCAATTAGCTTACGTTTCAAGAAATGACTGCCGATTGTCAAATACATTTTAGGGTCAAGGTCAAGAACGCAGGAAATTCGTTTTCAACTAATTTGCATACAGACTGCGAGCATGCGTAGGATGTTTAAAACATCGGTCGGCATCATCCATTTAAGAAAACAATGGAAAGCCTTACATATCTATGACGCAATTTCACCTGGACTGAAGTCGAGTTGTACTTCACTTCTGTCACGGTTTTGTTCAGTTTGATCTTGTCTTCAAACGTCTTGTAGATACCCTTATACAGAGTCCACATTCCTCTTTGGTCAGTCACGAAAAAATCAGGTTCCTTCGCAAACAACTCCCTGAATGGGACCAATTCAGCCCTTTTGCCCAGCTCAAAGTCAACGTCTAAGTATTCGATGAGATTCTCTGCTGCAGTCTTTGGTTTCCATCCCATGAGCGCCAGACCGATACGAGCCGAGATGGGAGTCTTCTTAATATGTTTTCTTTCTAACTGCTTGTCTTCCACTTTTTCTAAAATCTTTTTTAATTTGTGAAAACTTTCGATGTCCGTAATGTTTGCTCCTGTGTCGTTCCTGTTGAACAAGAATATTATGGTTAATAATTCATTCATTATTTTAAACAAGAATCTTGCTAACTACATCTGAATACCACTCAAACATCACAACAGCCATGTCTTTTGTCATTTCATTCTCTTGGGTATGTTTTCAAACTACCTCTAGCATCCAACATGGCTGCCATGTCTTTTGTCATTTCATTCTCTTGTGAATGTTTTCAAACTACTTCTATCATCCAACATGGCTGCCATGTCTTTTGTCATTTCATTCTCTTGTGAATGTTTACAAACTAC